CCCCGCTTTTAATTTGCTTTTCTCCAACTTCTGGTAACTCAGTCCACAACCCACGTGTCTAGAAGTGCCCTTCACATCTACAGAGACCTAGGTGGTTTAGTTTCACAAAACACATTTAATGATCTTATTATGTATGGTTCACCATTCTTTAGTCTTTTCTTATCCAAAAAACTGTGTGTCGCCCAAAAAAGCTGATTTATAATAGAGTTTGACCCTATAGTGTTTAGCAGTGTTACTAACGGGATGTTGATAGCTGCTTGTTCATTGTACAGTCTAGAAGCTATGGTGAATTCAGAAAGCTTAAAGAAACTGTCACAATAGGAGTTGGGGATGGAGATGCTCCATAAGAACAGGAAAAAATGAGCTGCCCTTTCTTTTGGGGGGAAAAAAAAAAAAGTTTTCAAATTATCTAGATCTTTCATACCACGCATAGGTAGAGGTAGGTTTGTCCCTTTACAGTTGAGCATCATTTTTGATACAGTTTTCAGTTGCTTATTCCTGTGCCAAACTTCATGCTGTAAATAACCATTGTATGTTTTCACTGAAATGGAGACGGGGACTTTGTATTTCTCAACATGGATATAAACTGGAATAAGTATGTTGCTTTTTTCGTCATGTTTAAAGTCTGATCATGTCTGATTGAGATTCAATTCTGTAAGCATGTTTTTAACAAGTAGTTAAAATCTGATGCACTGTACTGAGATGTGCCTCTCGTTTCAGTGTAAATTCCTCACATTTGTTCAAATATGAGACTGTGTAAAAATCATAGTACCTGTACACCTAGGAGAGATTTGAGTCATGCAGATACTTTAGCTGAAGATACCGTTTGTATCCACAAGTTCTCTTTGTTGTTTTTTTATTTTCTGAATGTAAGACTCTTAAAAGTGACCAACTGCCAGCACTAGCTAGAACTGATCCTAGTATTATAAGCGTATGCTAAGCCAGAACTCCACATATTGCATGTTTTTTTGTAACCATACTGTACTAGCTTCTAAAATTTTTATAATAAAATATTACTGCAATGTGGAAGTAATCAGAATCTAGTAGTTTTAAGGGTAATTTTGTGGCCTGAATAAACATACAAACAGGTTTACTGATTCAGATCAAGGGCCTGTCTAGCCTGATGTTTTAAACAGACCCCTAAGGAAGAGTAAGAAATAAGTATGCATATATGCATGTATGGTAATTACCCCCTAATGCTCTTCCAGCCTCGAGCTATTTTGAGCTCAAGGGATTTCCTGAGCTGCTTGTGATTGTCTGTTTCATATTCTTTAGTGAGTCTTTCTTCCACAACTTCTTCATTCTTCCCTCAAACCTTTATGCATTTCTCACTTTTACAACATCCTTCAGAAAGGTTTCAGTTTGTGTTTGGTTTTTTTTTTTTTTTTTTTTGGGGGCGGGGGGAGATTGCTTTTGTGAGGTTTTTTTGGGTTTTCTACAAGTCTTGCTGTCCATTACTTGAATAACCACCACCTTTTGCTTATTTTGAACATGTTTCCCACTGGGAGAGATTGTTTCAGTGATTGCACATGCTTATTAGTAATTCAGCTCTTTCATCCTTGACTTAACATAAAACTCATAAGTGAATACCATCTGGTCCTGATATTTGTTTCTACTCATTCTTGCTAGCAGAACTCTAGCCTCCACCCATTGTTATTTCAGATATTTGATAATAACGTAATATAATACCAGATTTTCTCCCTTTTTTATGAGCATGGTTCTTGAGGGCTTGATAATATAGCACTTTATCTTTTTACCTTTTTTATTATTATTTGGTAATGGTTTAGACTGTGCTTTGGATAAATAATTTCATTATTTTGCATACATTGATGGAATAATGTTGTAAAAATATTAAAGGACTATAGCAAGATCATTGTTTCTGATACTTAAAAATCACTGGAGAGTTGCATGCGGTAAAATAAATGCAAGAAGTGTGAAACATGGCATATCCTGGAAAGTTCAAGCAGGTCAAATTCTGCTTGCACATTAAAATGAAGCCAGAAATTGGAGATGCAGTAATTATCAGTTACGTATCTTTTAATTCATTTTACCCACAGTGAAGTAACCATCTCATGTTTGACTTCTAAGTGGCACACCTGTAAATACACAAAACTGTCGTACTTGACTTCTTTTCACCAGTGCTCAGTGAAAATCTGCTTTTTTAAAAGAGGATATTGCCATTATGCTGAACTTGCATTTCACTAGATGAAAGCATATATTTTCAATTTCTTTTTCTACTAAATGTAGGAATTAGAATTTTAGAAGGTGCTTCTAATTATGGTGCTGTTCATCCTTCATTTTTCTAGTGTTTCATAAAGAAAGTCACCTACTGCTTCCAAGCAGTTCTAGTAATATTTGTCCAGAACTAGATTAGTTTACACTTTTTAGAAACAGATTTAGCAATTTCAAACAAAACAGGGGCTTCCCTACAGTGCCACTCCATTCATCACCTGCACTACTTCCCCCTGCCAAACAATCTTTCTTCCTTTCATCGGCGATAAACTTTGTGGTTTGTGTCAACTGAAACTAAAATAAAATTACCATTGATCTTATCCAGAAGATCTGATTATGGTCTGGCAGAATACTTAGTGTCTTAATGTGTGAACGTGCAGAGTAGTTCAGTTTAAACATTGCAGCAGTATTGAGTAACTTGTACGTACTTACGTAGTGCACGTATTGGATTTGTAGTTTGAATATGTTGATGCAGATTTTAATTTCTCAGAAGCCTTTCCAATAAGGGAAAAATAAGATAATTAAGCTAACTTTTTCTAGAAAACTTTGGAACACCCTGTCAGTGTAAAAGATGTTGAGGTCTTAGATTGGAAAGACAGATTTGAATGCTAGCAATTTGGGAAGACTGCCCTTCTAATGGAGAGAACACCAACCTCTTGTTTTTTGCTTCTTTGTAGTAATACAATTTCTTTTGAGATTAAGTATAAAAAAGTTGTAATCAGGTCTTCAAGGGGACATTAAATGGAGAAATGTAATGATTACAAATGAAAGAAGATACATTAATGTTGCCTTAGATTAAAAGAGGAATAAAATGAGGTGAAGCTAGACACCAGCTTTGGTACAGCTAAAGATGCCACTGTAAAGACCAAAAAGAGGTAACATGCGTAAAAGACCACAGAATTGGTTTAAAATGGCAGATAATTTCTTGGGCTTCTAGAGAAATTACGCTTTGTTGGTTTTCTTGGTTTCTGAAAACGATTATTATTTAAAATCTGAAAATACTGATAAACTGTGGATGTGATACTATCCCTTGTTAAGAAGATCAAAGTCTACTAAAAGCAAAAAAGTAAGCAAGTTGAACTAACTTTTGTATGCTTTGTTTGATGTATTTTGTTTTGTTGGGTTTTTTGAACAGGTGAAATGAGGAATGATTTATATATCACTGTAGAAAGAGGAGAGTTTGAGAAAGGAGGGAAAAGTGTGGCCAGAAATGTGGAAGTAACAATGCATGTCGTGGATAGCAGTGGTCAAATTTTAAAGGTATCTTTGTTGTATGTTTTTCCTTGCTGTAGTTAATTTTGATACACTTGTTCAGATGTAAATCATCTTCTGTGGCATTGTTTGAACAGTACAAAATTGCTTTGGAAAGGTCATATTTATCTTTTACTGTCTTTAGATATTCCAAGTATCTTCACTTTTCTTAAAACCTTTATAAAATGCATATTTGCTTTATTTCTGTGATCAGTTAAGTGATTCAGATAAAAACCTATAATTACCAACCAAATAACTAATGATTCCATTAAGATACTGGAAAATGTTGAAGAAAGATCAGGTTCTGAAGAATGTTTTATTTTATAATAATTCTTATTAGTTATACACTTTCTCATGTTACAAAACTTATTTCTGTCATTTTCAATTTTTTGTCTGGTTTTAATAAATCAGAGATCCTTGATGTGAAAATCATCACCATGTATCAATAAAGAAATAAATTAATGTTGCTTCTTTTCTTCAGATTTGATTGCATACTGCTTGCTGGTGATAGCTTGCAAACGGGCACTGTTTTATATTTTAAGTATTAACAGATGACTGTTTTTCTGTTTGCCTTCAACCTTTTCCATGCATATTTAGCATCACTTTTTTCCCTTTTATTTAAAGTATGGCTGACACATAGTCTGGTGCAAATTGTGCATATGTGAAGTGAGATTGTACATATAAATGCATGGCATGCAATGTACGTATGTTTTACATATAAAAATACATATACATGTGTGTACGTATATATATCTTTTTTATATGTATACACATAAAAAAGGTTATTGAGATGCAGAGGTGATCCTTTATAATTACTGAGGGGAAGAGCTACAGCTTACCTTTCCCACAGAGAATTAATAGGTATTCTCATGTCAGGACTTAAAATATCCACTTGCCTGCTTTGCTGTGGAGAGACAATCATGGGTGCTGCAAAGGCAACCAACAGTTTTGTTCTTCCTAATCAGGGAATCCAGATTTCTTTCTCTTTTTATGCTGGGACATATCACTGATAACAGCAGGATTATAGGTTTATTTCAGAGGACTAAAGATCTTGAGCCTGGACTGTTCTTATCTCAGTTACGTTCTTGTTTGTTGCTTGGGCATAACACTGGATGGACCATACTATGCCATGGGATTCCATATCACATTTGTTGCTTAAGCCTTCTCGATCACCCAGTTCCCGCTGTATAATACTTTGATTCTCACCAGTGTGGTGTGATTCTTTCCATTTATAATCAGCAAATATTAACAATGTACTACTATTTTTCAGGGTTTAAAGACATTGAGCATTATACCACATGTGGCATTAATGATATGAATGTGAATATTAAGTAGTCTTCCTTGTAAGATCAATCTTTGATGGTATTTTACCAGTGAACTAATCTGCCTTTAATCTCTAATCAATACTTTTTCTTCATTAGGATTTTATCTCATTCGGCTCTGGAGAGCCACCAGCCAGCGAGTACCATTCCTTTGTGCTTTATCATAACAATGGTCCCAGATGGGCTGAGCTGCTGAAACTTCCTATTCCTGTGGATAAATTCAGAGGAGCACACATCCGCTGTGAATTCCGGCACTGTTCCAGTAAGTGCTGTTCATGACTCCTACTAGTCCTCTCTGTTACAGCTGCTGTCAGCACATGAGTTTCCATAATACCTCAGAAAAAAGACAGCTGCCTGAACTTTCTCTGTAATGCTTTCATGACACAGCTTCTCAGGCTTGAAGCTCTACTTGGTGGAACTCAGGGCTTTGGTAAAGCCTAAATACCAGGAGAAACCAGTCAATAGATTTACTAAATAGAAATAGACAATATTGCAGCTGCAAAGGTAAACAGAATTTCAGGTGAACTCAAAATGCAAATTTAGAATTTGCCTGGTGAATGATCTGAAGTTATATTTGTTTCTTAGTACATATTTAGCAACCCAATCAATGGGAAATGTATTTATATACATCATGGTCAATTAACATCGCTTTTGTATTGCCTTTTTTTTACTTATAAAATAAAATTCAGAAATTCTCTAAACATTCTGAACAGTTTTAGAGACGATTTTGAGGTAAAACTTAAGGTCTGGGTGCACATTCTGGATACCAAGGTATGTGAGACAGGTTTCATAGCTATGGTGCTAACTGCTGTCAAACTTGCAGAGAAAGATGGATAAAATTGTACATATTTTAAACTGCTGCTGTTGTTTGGCTCTCTTTGGTGATGTAGATATAAGCAAGATTTGATTATTTAGATTGCCTTTGTGGAAACTGACACACACAGTAAATTATAGTATATTTAGATTTCAGATACATAAACTTCAAAATGTAAGGAGCAGGTAATATGTCAAGAAAATTGCATTGATTTCTTTTTAGGATTTCTTTTATAAGCTATGAAGTAATAAAGGAAAAATGTTGGTGGTATGTTTCAAACAGATATACTTTTGCACCATCTTTCCCATGCAGTACAAGTTGAATATTTTTGTTATGATTTCCCACACCACCCCAATGGAGCTAAACACAGGTTTAAAAGTCATATATATACACATTTGATGAAAAGTTGGTTGACTTTCAAAGTATTCAGCATCTACACTCATTGGCTGCAGTAAAATCTGTACCATCTCAGGATTCTATAGTCTGCTTTATATTTAGGTGGTAGATAAGTTTTGGTATTTGAGGTTAGGCATCCACGTTTCAAAATATTATCTACTATCTAACATTCATGTAAAGAACAGTGACATCTTCAGTCATACTTAGAGGCAGATGCCTTCCTTGAAAATAGAAGTGCAGTGTAGCCTGAGGCTGACCTAAAATGGAGACCAGTAGCTAGAAGGTACTATAGGGGATAATTGTCATTAAAAAAACGCTTTTTATCCTCATGTGGGACTGGCTAGGTCACGTTCATTTGGGTTTACTGGCATTCTGTATATTGCTAAGACTGCATATTTGGTGGCTTTTGTTATTTGTTGTTAATAAATACCAAATCATTCCAGAACACTGCTTTCTGATTTACAGTGAGGTAAAAGCAGCAAGCCATAGCAGGAGATAATGTGCATATCTGAAAAGAAATTTAAAATAATCTTAGTCTGACTAGCTGCAAATAGCTTCCAGTTTACTTTCTTATATTGTATTATGCCCATTTATTTTGTCTAAGATGTATAATATTAACTTTAAGTGCTGCTATTTATATATGCATTTCAGCAAAGGAAAAGGGTGAGAAGAAGCTGTTTGGGTTTTCTTTCATGCCCCTGATGCAGGAAAATGGGAGGACTCTGCCAGATGGCACCCATGAACTCATTGTACACAAGGTATTTGAATTAGTAATCATTAGGTGTATTGATTCCTCTGGAACATACTTTAAATGCCCAGAAACATTAGGTTGAGAAAGTCTGTATTCATTACCAAGTGAGTGATAATCTTGTCACCATTAAAATATTCATTGCTGATTGTTTAATATTAAGCTTCCTGTTACAAACTGCAGTTGAATCTAGGTGTGTGTTTTCAGTGCACTGGTTTTACTAAGTCTTACTGTCGTATTACCCTGAATTTATAATGGATTTCATAAAGTTAAGTTCAGTAGAAACACACAAAGTGAACCCCATGATACCCTCTTACTGAATTGCTGAAGTTGGAAAATAAAGCAAGCTCATTTATGCAGATCTACTTGGTGTTATCATTTTTAGAGATATTTCAGTTTTGTGAAATTTTTGTTTCCATGCTTAAGACTTGCCTCTTTTTTCAGAGGATTTGATAAACTCGCAGATAAATTTTAGATTTTTGACACTAAAATTTGTAGCTATTCATTTGACATAACCTGTGCAAATTTGTTAAACTTCAATGTCACATATCAAGTTATGATCCAAAACCAAAGTTGAAACAGGTATAGTGAAAATTTTTCAGTTTCTGGCAGAGAAACAATAATAATTCATATAATTTAGGGATTTGGCCCTTTGTTTTTATGTAGTACAGTTATTTTAACTGGTTTGTTTTCACAGTGTGAAGAAAACACAAACCTTCAGGATTCTGGTCGCTACCTCAAACTCCCCTTTTCAAAGGGAATTTTCTTAGGAAACAACAGCCAAGCAGTAAAAACCACTAAAGAGTCCTTCTGGATTACATCCTTTCTCTGCTCCACTAAACTCACACAAAATGGTAGGATATGTTGATTATTTAAACCTGATGAATTTAAATGAGTGTGATAGCTAGCCTTTTCTGTGCCAAGCAAGCATGGATGTACTCAAAAATAGCTTATGTTCTACCCATTTTACAAAACTGGTTTTCTTCATAATTTTTTATATCCAGATGGAAACCAATGTAACATGATAAACCACTGACTTTAAGTAGTCCAAGAATGCTTTTTAGATTAACATATTGGAATCAAATGCAGCACTCTTGGAATCAACTATCAAAACCCAGCTGCTTTACAAAACCTCTTAATCTGTTTGTTGTAGAGTTTTTATGAAATACTTCTTGTAAGGTTTAGGCTGTGGCAGTTTAGTTTTAATTAGGCACATATTGGTTTTTTGTTGTATCACTACTCTTCCTTAAAGCCAACAAACATTTACTACTACTTAAAACAATCTTATACACTGGATATAAGGAGCAGCAGACAGAAGTACATGTGTTTGTGCTCTTTACCATTGCTCTGTATAAAATTCTTAAAATTCTTGTTTATTTGCCATATCAACAATGGTTTGTAACTGAAACAGTTTTCCACAAATTTCTAATTATTGTGTATTGCTTGGTGATGTTTTTCTGACCACTTTGATATCCCCACAGTTTTATATTATTTTTTCTGAGCTATTTATCACAGTTTTAAGGTCTTGCTTAGCTCTCTTGTGTGTGGATGACTGTTTTAACCCTTCTTATATGTATGATGATAAAATTGCTAATTGCTTGCAAGTTGATTATAGGTGTTCAACAACTAGAGCAGCTTTTTAAATTGAAATGATCATCATTATTTTCACCCTTTAGTAGCAAGTGTCCAAAATAGAACTATGTGCAAATAGTAAGTGGTCTGTTTCACTGTGCACATCCTTTCTGTATTCTCACAGCAATTAGCTTCAAAGTAATAAAAGTTAGCCAATAAAAGATTTTCCCGAAGATTGCTACTAGGCAATCAGAGACTAAATTTGCTTCAGTTAAAGGCCTTGATTTAGGAAATCACATGAATCTACTGGCACTTAAACATGCATGAAAGTGCTGCCTGGAACTTAAGTGTCTCACTGACATAGTGAGAATACTTGCGCTATTATCTAGGGATATAATACTAATTTACGTTCACAGTACAGGAGTTATTTTGTATTTGATGTAAATAGATGTGTGACATAGGGCATAAAGTTTCCTTTTTTTTAACCTATTCTGAGTCAGAAGGTGTAGAATATCTGAATAATATCGATCCCCTTTTCAGCTCTGAAAGAGTTAACAATTATTTCAGCAGTACTTCAGAGGGTGGAAATATTTTCAATAGACAGGCTCATATTTTCTCCAAGGATCTTCTTTGGGAAGTTCATCTTGGTGAGTTTCCAAATCCCCATTCTTTTAAACAAAAATTTGCCAAAACCTATTGCATGCTCAGAAAATGAACACAGAGCAAAGCATGTGGATATTTGGTCATGTGAGCATTACTTCAGTTATCCCTAAGAAAATGTAGCATACTTATAAAAAATACAGGAGTAAAAAGATCTGTGTATATACTTTTTTAGTAAACATTTGTATTAGTATTTTTGAAAATTGATGATTACTTTTTAATCTGTTTTTAAGTTTAGAGATTTTTCTGAAGTTCAGGGATCTACTTGTGTCTACAAACAACAATGTCCAGCCTGGAAGTGAACTGAAAATTATGCTATTGGTCTGCCCATGGGGTGGGGGAGGACCCCAAACCCAGACTTGTAAAGGGTGCAACTGAACTAGGCCACAGCTTTACTAGCTTGCTGGGAAATTTTACTCAGTTGTCATTCTCTCATTGGCTGTTCCCACATACCATCAACTCTCATGCATATTAAAATTATGAGGACTTGGGGAAGGAGGCTGACTCCCAGTTGTTGGGATCCATAACTTCCTTACCCTGGATACTTTGGAGGGGTTTTAAGGATTATTTCCACACAATTTGCAAAGACCTAAACGGGGGAGGCTGTGCATTCATTAAAAAATAAGAAAGCATTCTTATCTAATCTGTTTTCAGTAAGCTTTTCCTTAGCTTGACTTTTGATCCTGGATAGTTAATCAGTTAATGTTAGCAAAAAAAGTGTACTAACTTTTATTGCATTCTTAGCTGGATAGTTACATTTCATTATCTTAAAAAAAAAATAAAAATCCAGAAGACCAACAGAGAACATAGTATTTTTCTACTGAGTGGTTATCAATACAATCTTACTTCATTTTTGACATAGCGGAGGGATCTCTGCCTGCCAGAGACTCAGGATCCATCCAACAAGACAGAATATTTTAGCAAGTTGGCATTCACTCATTCCTCAGCACTGATCAGCACATCCCTAGTAAGCAGCTGTTCATCAGCAGAGCAACATGCCATACAGCATGTCTGTTGCAAGGCAGAGGTGTAATCTATCTATCTGCATTTTTAAAAAGCCAAACTGGTAATTAATAAAGCAAAAGTAACAGGGGGCAGCTTTCCAGAATGATCCCAGTTTGGAGGGAGTGTTAGAAACTGCAGAAGCAGCCTGTTGGAAGAGGACTGCAGACCGCCAGTTCTGGAATTTGGCTTTTTGCTTTTGAAGTCGCGTAGTGCTACACCAGGCCAATTTCTGATGTCTCAGGATTTATAGGAGAGAGATGGAAAGATCATCCCAAACTACTTCTTTATACACATGATTCTAAACCTTTTATTAAACCTGGTACTTTGGATTTAAATTATGGGCTTTGAGAAGCGAAGTGTTTTGTTTGGTAGGAATGGTAGGTCAGGTGTAGCCTATTTTTAATGTACAAATCTGATCATGAATAAAAGAAGGCATTGGAAATGTTTTTCTTCTTCAGCAAAATTTATGAACAGCATTGACTTTTTCCCTTTTCCAAAAGTATGTTTTCTTAGTAGGCCTAATCTGGGAGACAATTTTGTGTTCTCATTTCAAGGCCAGGTTTGGATGAGGCTTTGAGCAACCTGGTCTAGTAGAAGGTGTCCCTGCTTATGGCAGGGGAGTTAAATAAATTATCTTTAAGGTCCTTTACAACCCATACCTTTGTATGATTCTAGGATTTCTCTTAATACATGACACATTGCTATCCCTTCCTCTTGTGATTCACCAGTCAGATTTTCTATTCATGTCATTTATGCTTGGGATATTTGCTAATGTTATCTCAGCAATGTCTTTCCTCCTTAGCATTTTCCTTGAAATAAGTGCTTTGAAGTGAGTGTCTGACATTTACTTTCTGTTCCTTTTTTAATCCCTGAACAAATCCTTAACATTGAGTGTCAACTATCATCCCACCAAGTTCCTCCAGCAAACCTGTAAAGAAATATTTTTTCCTGCTATGAACTGACAGATTTAGCTCATCTTGCTACTCCTCAACTTAAGTTGAGGCTTAAACAGAATAAAGTAGAGTCCATTTAATTATCCAAAAGACAAATGCAGTTCACTGGATTTGTAATGCTTGTTTCTTGAAAATTCCTTACAGAAGGAATAAGATGACATATCATTTGTTCTTGATCTTTGGGGTGTGTCTCTGATGCATGTGTAGGACCCTTCAGCACTCTTAGTGCAGCTCAAAGATCTCTTTTAATCCAAACCATTCCATACTAGCACAGGCTGAAGCAAAACAAAAAAGAAATGTATAAATGCATAAAACCAATTTGTGACCACCAAAATCTAGTAAGGCAGCAAAATATTAGTGGAATAGCATGTAGAATGTTTGCCACTAGCACCTTTGGCAAGATCTCAATATAGGTGGAGATTTATTTAATGTTATTAAAGACAGAAATATTACTTCATTTCTTGTTGTCAGAGAGAGGCGCTTTCCTGAAGCAAACTGGGAAAGAATGACACAAAGCTGGGTGTGGCTCAAATGTTACTTGAGTGTGACGACAGTCTGTTGTAAAAAGCACCCAAATAGTCGCTGAACCAAGAGGAAAACTTGCTATTAGCTTCTTAGTTTGATAAGTACTGAGAACATTTCAGGAGAATTGGATCTTTCTAAGACAATGCTGGATAGTGATCAACTAACAATACAGTAGTTCAGCTTAAGCTGATGGAAGGGTTGGGTGGTGGTTAAGGTTTTCTGCTTCAAATAGCCAGGCTTTGAGAAATTTTGAAAAGCTGGTTAGTGAAACATGGAAGTAGTAAACTTGAATGTAAAAGAGATTTGGGATTCATTTAATTCATCAGTTCAAAAATATGTGGAACTTTTACTGAATACAACTGGAAAGGGGCACTGCGGACCCAAGTGAGTAAGTCACAGGCAGAAAATGTGGGGAGTAAGCAGAGAACCTGCAACAGAAGGGAGAAACTAACAGCAACGTGTCAGAGTTGAGCAAGGTTCAGAGTCGAGTGAAAACTGCTGAAAAGCCAGGCCAAGGTTGCAAAAGTGGTTTAGGATATTGAATGGTATGGGACACGAAGTTCCCAGTCTCATAACAAAGCTGAAGCTGAAAGCAATAACATGTACCTGAAGAGTAATAAATAGAGTACTTACATTTAGGACAGGTGGAAGAGCAGGTATGTTAACTGGGCCATCACACTCTGATGAATTTTATGCAAGTATTTACAAGAAATCATGGATAAAAAAAATGGACGTGTAGCTAAATGGAATGTGCTGTAAGATGAGATTTATCAAAGGCATATCATGCCAGAATAAACTTCTTAATCTTTCTTTTCAAAGTTTTGGTTTTTTTTTTAATTATTATTCTTCAGAGGAAACATAGCAGATCTAAACCATCTGGACTTCAATAACACACCACATGGGAAATTAGAGAAGATACAGATTAGAATAAGAATTTTAAAACTAGTGAATAGAGGCTAAAAGGGAACTAGCAGGTTGCACTCTAGTGGAAGGAATTTTTTTCCTGAGTGGAAGGAAAATACTACTAGATCTTAAGAATTAGGTCTGAGATTGATCTCTCTTTTAAAGGGGTAGAAGGGGATGATGGAAATGGCAGTTAATTTCACTAAAACCTGAGACACTATTGAGCCTGTGGATGACGTTTGCTGCTAATACGTAGTTGAAAGGGCTCATCAGTTGAGAGGGACAAATTCAAAATATGATACAGGCAAAGCAAGGTAACTTTGATTTAAGTAATATTTTAATTTAAATAATAAGAAAGAGTTCAAATCTAACGGTACAAAAGACAGGATTGTACCCTAGTGGAGACTCTTGAGAATTCTGCTGTAGCCAGGGAGCTGAACAGTATTAAACAAGATACGATGTATCTAAAAAGCACCTCAGGTTCTACAACATACATGTCATGTGTTTACAGCAGATATATGAGCTTGCTAATGATATCGAAAACAGTGATATAATCTCATCTGTAATGTAGTTGCCATTTTGGTCGTGAAAGCTGAAGGAGAATTAATTGAAACTGGAGGAAGTGCGAAGACAGACTGGTATGTTTTAGCTCAGAAGAGTTTACTTTCCAGAAGAGATTGTGTTGCTTATTAATAAAGCAGGACCCTTAGAGGCATTGTGTTTCTTCTCTAAAAAGACATAGGAACATGAGTATTTTAAATATAGTCAAACTAGTAATTAGGAGACTATTTCTAGCTGTCAGAGGATGGCTCTGGAAGGCATCTTTCAATAGGATGAAAGACAGCAAAATAGTTGCTTTTCTTGAGAAGATAGCTGGCAAATATCTGAACAAGATTGCATGATACAGTTGCAATATGAGATTACTTTTAGTGACCCAGTACCATGTTCTTGTGTTTCTATTGGTGGAGCAATTATGGGATGGAATGAAAATTCATTGTTGAGCAGATTGTTTTATAGCAAATCTTGAGATGTTTTCTTTTGTTTTAATGATGCCAAGTTTTGCTGAGTGGACTGTAATAGTAGAATTTAAAAGCTGAAATGCTGCTTTGCTTCCAGCTTTAATCTTACATTTTGTTTTTGCAGGAGATATGCTTGACCTTTTGAAATGGAGAACCCACCCAGACAAAATTGCAGGTTGCCTCTCAAAATTAAAAGACATTGATGGTTCAGAAATAGTGAAGGTATATACCTTTCTATCCCTTCAGATAATATGAGGAATATAATGTATTTGCATGTCACAAAAATACCAATTTAATAAAAAACTCTTATTTTCTCCAATCAGTTTCTTCAGGATACACTAGACACTTTATTTGGGATTTTAGATGAAAACTCTCAAAAATATGGATCAAAAGTATTTGATTGTTTGGTAAGTTTCCTTTTGTGATGATTCTTAACACTTTAAGAATCTAAATAAAAAAGAAAAAGCAAAAGCTTTTTTTTTTTTTTCCCTCTCATAGGTTCACATAATAAATTTGCTGCAGGACAGCAAGTTTCACCACTTTAAGCCAGTAATGGACACTTACATTGAAAGTCATTTTGCAGGAGCACTTGCATACAGGTGAAGTCTGTATGTTTTCTATCTGATTTGAATACTGATAGTTATTGCTAAACTAAGCAGAATCAATCATTAGGTTAAATTAAACATATAATTAGAAATAAAATGCAATGCTTGTAAAGATGCCCAGATTTAGGCCATTAAAAAAGAGTAAAATAACTTTAAGTTACCAGAAAAATTACTTGCTAATGCTCTAACATTGACTTTTTAAAAAATCTTTTTTTTTTTTCCAGTGGATTTCTTTATTTTAATTATTTTGAAAAACATAGGAGCCTTAACATAAACCAGCTGCAACTATGTTCACTGTCTGTGTTGACCAGTGCACTAAGTATTGCTTACTCTGCTGTACTCCCTGTATTTATCTGCTACCTAGACTTCCATTAAAACCAGTGCAGTTTAATGAGACTGGAGGCCAATGCATGGGATAGCAGGGGTAGTCCATGCTGGTGGGGACTCTTCTGGCTTAACTGAGCTTGTGTTTCCCCATCAAAATAATTCTACTGCATATATAATGCTGGTATTATTTCCTCTTCATCAGAGATGTACTAGGTGGCTTTCAGCAGACTGAAAAGAAGTGTAATACTGGGACTGCAGTGATTAGTGAAATCTAGTCATATTTTTTTTTTAATTTTGTCAGTGTTTCTCATATGACAGCTGTTGGTTTGCATTTTAAATGCAAAGTTAATCCTCCTGCTTTAATGCTCTGTTATAATGCTTTCTGATGTGCTATTCTAGAGATCTTATAAAAGTGTTAAAGTGGCATATTGATCGGGTCACTGAAGTGGAGCTGCACGAGCACATACAGGAAGTACTAAAGGTAATAAAAATAGTCAAAAGCAATTATATATTTGAATGTATTCATACAGTACCAACAGGTTTAACTTGGGAAATGGAGTATGTATCAATTACGGAATGATAGTACTAATTCTAGGGAGCTGCAGACTTCTTCAGTGCAGTCAGTTTATGCATCATTCTCTTTTGTCAGTAGGTTGATCAATGGAGCTTACTACCACTAGACTCTGGAGCTCTATGTTTGTTACTGAATGAGGATATACATGAGTAGGAGTTAGATCTAAGAAATCAAATATAAATTGGATTGGTGGTATTAACCTCTGTCACATAACTGTATCGAAATGGCACACATGCATGCTGATTTAATGGTTCAATCCTGACACTGGGGAATTCTACTGAATATCATGGTTTTGATTGCTCTTGTTGCCCCATTTTATACCATAAACAGAGCACAGTGTGGAGTCAGGTTGAGTTGTACAACACAATGATCCCATTTGGGGCAGGTGCTATAGACTGGAAATAAAATACCAATCTGGTGCCCTTCTGTGCTTTTCTATGCTGCTGTTAACTTATGTGTCTTACTAATAAGAAAGGGCTGTATTTTTAATTTACATTCCAGCAGTTTTGCAAATTAATTTAAGCTTTCTTTTTTATTATTAACTGGTTAACAGCTGGCAGGAAAACAACTTTTAACAGGCAGATGAATTCCAAGAACAGCTCAAAAGTTTGAGCCTATTTCTTAGATTTGCCCTTTATGTTTATGCAATAGGTGTTTCTGTAGCAAAAGATATTCAAGCGATATGGGGGAGGAGGAGCAGTGTTGAGATTTTACAGTTTTCCATTTGTTAAAAAAAACAAGTGTTCCCTGGTTTGTAGACGTTATGAAAGGCAAGGAAAGAGCATTTCTGAGTATGTGGTTTTGAAATGTTGTTAATGTTTCAATAAAAGATTTGACAAAATTGAATTACATGGTATCCTGTTTCAGATGCCTGTCGTTATTTGAATGATAATCATTGCATGTGTTCTATTTAAAGATGAGCTGCTTCATTTTTATGATTTATCTCTGATTTTGACATTTATAGGCACAGGAATATATCTTTAAATATATAGTTCAATCTCGAAGGTTATTCTCTATTGCCACTGGTGGACAAAATGAGGAGGAATTTCGCTGCTGTATTCAAGAGCTTCTTATGTCAGTGCGCCTCTTCCTTTCCCAAGAGAGCAAAGGAGCCAGTGCTTTATCCCAACTACAAGTAAGTTTTCAAGTGTGCCTTGCTTATTGCCACTTTCCATGTCCAATGTAGAAAATATATGCATGTCCTTACCTGTATTCCCAGGAAAGAAAATGTGGTTTTGCTAGAGCAAAATGGTATTTTCAGCTCATCCTTATAACTTTTGTCCTATAGTGTAAAATTTTAATACCAGCAGCTTCTAAATATGCTTGGCATAGATAATCCTAAATCTAATACTTAATTTTGAATTATAATTATAAGAATTATATTGCTGGATACAAATATACTCCTTTGTCTGTTTTGAGCATTTTACAGCTTAGTTTAACCACAATGGAACTGAAGCATTTGAGCCATACAAAAGACTGTCAGAGTTTTCATGCTTTACAAAGAACTTTTAAGTCTTGATGAACTGTGTGTTTTAATAGTCAGCTGATATCTTTATTTCCATTGAGACTGCTCAAATTGACTAGTGCTAAAGCACAGAGGCAAAACACACAGGAGACAGCTCTATAAATTAGATGTCATAGATTTACCAACTTCTAAAGCTTATAGATATGCTGTCCTCTTCCCCCGTTTCTGTAACCAAAGATGTTTAAGATTCGTTACGAATTCATATTTTCTTTAGCTTTGTAGAAAATCATTCTTCCAAGGAAATGGCAAATTGGAGAGAAGGGAGTAGAGAGGTGGTTCTTCCCATCTCATATCATGTAAGCAGGTGGAGTGAAAAGATAATAGTAAAATCATATAAATGTATATTCCACATTTTGAATTATTCTTCAGTATCTTCAACCTTGTATGTAATCTGTTCTGACACCAGTATGAAGAAGGTCTGACATATGAGTAGCTTTTCTCTATCAGCAGGATTTGGAGAGGAAGAATGTCAGTTCTAGCTTCCTTTCTTTCCCAGTGTTTTGTTTCCATATTCATTATACTCACCAATTAATTTCTAACCCTATTTTAGGATTGTTGAAATGAACCAAGACTGCCAGTGCCGTATCACTCCAGAATAAAAATGTTAATTATTTGAAAAATGGAAGATATGGAGGCCATATTACTTATCTTAAAATAAACTAAACCAAAACAACTCCACTTAAATCTTTTTATTCTGGTATCAGCTAGCTTTTGTTATCCTTTTAAAAATTTCCTCTTACATATAGATTGTGAAGAATCTGTAAAGTTATAAATGTTTTTGTTCTAAGTTGAACTTTTAACTTTCACTTTGTCCTGGGAGAAATGAACAGTCATTAGATAATGCTTAAAGGAAAATAGTCACAAATGTAAGCCTGTTAATTGATGTGAGGATATTTCTTCTCAAAATATGACCATTTTTAAAGCTGCTAACTACCCTTGAAATGTAAAACCAGTAATTTTTTTTTACAGTTACTTAAATTGCTGTAGTTATTTAAATTCTATAAATGTCAAAACTGTCCTGCAATATCTGACTGTCCATTTTTGCCCTTTTCCTCTAGGCTGTGTTTCTCAGCTCATTCCCATCGGTGTACTCCGAACTTTTGAAACTCTTTGATGTAAGAGAAGTGGCAAATTTGGTTCACGATGCTCTGGGCAGCTTGCCAGCAGTTATGCATGGGGATGAGTCTCTTCAAGCTGTTAAACTGCAGAGTATTGGAAAAACTGTAGAGAGTCACCTGTACACTAACCCAGGTAAGGTTATCTTGAGCTGCCTGCAGATAAGAAACTCAAATTGTGTGCTTGGTACATAGGCCAGCAGGTGGTGAAGGAATAGTGTTGCTCAGAGCGGTGCTTCCTAAGTAACAATTCTTGAAGCACTTCTCTGGACAAGCTGCTCATTTACAGGAATACAGTTGGTTAAATTTAGTGGTTTCCTTTTTAGAGACAGAGACTCTTAAAATAGAGTTTTGTTTTGATCTACTGCTGGCATTATGTCTGTGAAAGAAGTTTGGCTTATACTTTTAAAGTAATTATAAAGGGAAAAGCTCTACTAACTTGATTTTTTTTTTTTTTTCCTCCTTTGGGGGCAGTTCAGCAAACAGATTGTCACTCATCCATTAAGTCTTATTTGTGTAACTCTTGTTAGTTCAGCACTTTTGATATTCCATTTCTTAAAGTAGCATAACAAGGCTATGCAAATGCAAGCGATAGTTGGTGCATGAAGTATGTAACAGCACAGTTATTTGCAATGCAGAAGAAAAAACTGCTGTGGTGGTCAGCCAGCCATTCTTTTTTTCTGTTCTAAGTGAAACCCATAGAATTGACCAAATATTAAATTAGAGATTAACTAATTTTGAAATAAAAAAAATAAAATAGAACTGATTTAAAGAATTCTAATAAGTGTTAGCTTACTCACCAAAAGCCCTCTTGAGAGCTGTTTGGGTATTGGCTGATGGAGTTCAGTAGAAACAGTAACTTTTACCATTTAAGGCATTCAAGCTAAGCAGGTTACAATGATGAAGGCTCTGCAAAAATCACCAGGATATGCATAAATATTTTGAGATGCTGCAAAATAAAGGGAGATCTTATAAGTTTGAGGGTTTTTTAAATGTTTTCAGTGGTTGTACTTTAAAAGTATGCGTTCAAGGAAATGGGTAAGTAGTATTGGATCCTGGCTACTTTGCTTCATTCTGGTTGTGAAAACAGATTGCCCTTGTGAGCCTCCATGGCAGCCCCTTCCAGAACAGTTAGCTCCATACAGTCATAGAGCAGGCATATATGTTTGTTTTTTTAATTGCAGTGATGACTAGTTGTTTAAGCATTTTCTTCTCCTGCCACTCTCAAGTCCAGTGGTCCTTCAAAACAAGGAGGCATAAATTGCATAGTTTTTCTTGGACCTATCAAAACCAAGAACAACAACTGTGCTTCTCACTGTTCAAGGAGAATGCTGTTTATTTGCTTAAAATGTTGAATTACACTAATTCTTTTTCCAAGCATGCTGACGTTTTGACCATCTGTTCAGATATAATCATTGAAATGAATATTATCTTTCTGAAATTAATCTTTAAAATATGCAAGAGTAAAGAAAATTTTGTATGTCTGTGCACATGCTTTACCACTAACTGAAAGCAAGGGGGAAAGTTGTACCGTGGCTCAATTATGAAACGTTAATGTAGCTTGCATAGGAAAGTCACAAGGACTGCCCAGAGTTGTCTCTCTAATTATGCCAAGCATGTACTTGAAAAGCCCTATGTTGTGATTTTTTTTCTTCTCTTTCTGTATAATATTTGTAAAGGGCAAGTGTTAGCATTTTAAACAGTCAGCTAATTTGGCTTTCTGCATAAAAGAAAAATTAGGACAGTGACTGATGGCCAAGAATTTGGTTTATTGCACCATTCCTTGCACTCATTAATTTTTCCATATACGGTGTCTTGACATTGCAGCTGACAATTTTGAGAAAAAGCAACCTGAGACAAATGTTGTACCCTTTGTTCTCCAAACTTTCTCATGTAGTCCTTGATTTGTCTCAGAGGTGAATATGCCAGCTCTTCTCTATTGTAATACCACTATATCTCTCCACCTAAACAGGTCAAAACAGAGAGATATTTAGATTATGTGTTTACGAGGAATATATCTAAAGCCATGTTATGTGTGGTGGTTAATTCAGTAATGGACTCTGTTCCCTCCCATGTATAGTTGCAAGTCATTTTAAGATGCTTTTTGCTAATCTGTTTGATCTTGGTAAAACAAAGTTCCTGATCATTTTATGGAGCTTTTGCAAAAATGGAATACTTGAAACGATTGAATGACGATGCTCAGTTTTGACTGAGATGCTTCAGGCCATATTGTATGTAAAAGTTGGCTATTTACAAATCAAGTGTTGCTACATGTAGATTCTCTGGTCTTCAGAACGGGATTCATAACACTGCGCTTACATGTAAGCAGTCCACAGAGTAGTGTGCACCTCAGAAAAGGTACCAAATCCTGTGCGTGCTTGTCAGGAAGCTGCCTAGAGTTAACCAAGAAGAAACACTTTGGCACAGGGTTGCTTCTGTTTCCTTCTCCTCTACTGGGCTGAGGGATGTGATTTGTAGCTGCAAGAGAGGACCTGCTGTCTTCAGAGGACCTGTGACCCAAAGGACAAGGCTTACACCAGTAACGTGTGAAAGAGCTCCTGTAACTGCGCTGTGACAGTGGTGGAGTTGAGTAGCGATAGGAGCATTTTCCTGGGAATGGAAGACGAGGTTCAGTGCTCTGTCAGCCTGGATTAAGCTTCCTGTTGCCTGCCTGCCAGGGGAGAACACAAACCACAGAGCCACAGGCTGGTTTACATAGTGAACTCTTCCTCACTTCTCTTGAAGATGGGTGACCAGAGAGTCAAGAATTCAATACGTGTTAAGGCCTAACAGAAAGCGGGGAAAAGGAGCAGTCCCCTCCAACCTAGAGGTTAGGTCTTTTTTATAGGAATGGAGAGTCCTGCTTTTTTGCTTCAGCTGAAGGCATTAGCTCTGTTTTCTCATCTATTGACAATCAATAAACAGATTTAGTGGTGGGCATCAGAAGCTTGCATTTTCCTAACCACAGGTCTACACATTAACTATCTTCCTGCCTGCTTTCCTTTTTACCCTATAGATCTTGCAGTGGATGGGTCAGTGGCAGCTGTCACACTTGACACCTCAGACTACTTAGGGCAATACTTTGCTGAGCTTCTGGTTTTTAGGTAAACAAGAAGAAAATACCTTGTTGGTTTGGTTGAGATGCTTCTGTCTAGCTGCAGAATGAATGCTCAGGCCAGTCCTGATGAAAACCTACTAAGGCACTTGCAGAAGTAAGTGGTTACTGGATAGAGGCTCTTTGCTTCCCAGTTGTGGGTTTTGGTACCACTGGGTTTAGATTCCCTGGTGACCTTTTGCCTATTGCCATACAGTCTTTGTTTATTTTTTTTCTTCAGTAGGAAGATATAGCAGAACACCTGAGTAGAGTAAATAGTAATAATAAGCATGAAACACCCATTTAAAAAAAAAAGCACGCAAGCTTTTTTTGAAAACAAGAATATACTTAAATAGTGTGTACAAATCAGCTTGTCTATATGATTTGCCATGTGTTACACAGGTAACTAGACAATGAAAACAAGAGAATAACAGAGAAAAACAAGATTGGTGCTGTATTTCACAACATCGCAGAATTGCCTAGAAAAGACCTTTCAGATCATTGAGTCCAATCATTAAGTAAAGAAATGCTTCCTAATATCCAATCTAAACTTCACTTGGTGCAACTTGAGGCCATTTCCTCTTGTCATTCAACAAATAAAATCTCAAAATAAATCTTTTTATCCCTCCTGGAAAAAATAGAGGAAATATTTAAGGGGAAAAAGTGTTTATAGAAGGTCTAATCTGTGAACAGTATTTAGTTGGCAAAATTATTTTTAAAGGAGTAATTTTCCAGCTAGATTAACTCAATTTTTAGGAAATAATAATTACATTAATGAACAAAGGAACTGAGTAGATAAATATATTTAGATGATGTAGTATATAATCATCATTAAAATTTTAACAGAGGAAATGACTCAAGTACATTTCTATGAGAACATAATTTCTCAATGATGGAAAAGATCTAAAAACAACAATAAAATACAAACAGGTAACACCCATTTAATTTATCAAGTTGTAAATAAGTGTTTAATGTGTTATCACAAGTGTAAGTATTAGGGCTCTTCCCATTTAACATTGTCTTTAATTATAAGAAAAAGCAAGAATCAATAGCATGTTCTTTGTCCTGGTTTTGCTAGGATAGACTTAATTTTCTTCTTAGTAGTTGGAACAGCTGTGTTTTAGTTTCAGTGCAGGACTTTTTATGAGAAGGATGATAACACTACTACTGTTATCAGCTGCTGCTGGAGCTCAAGGCCACCGTGTTTGGCTGGTTCACAGCTGCATTAGGACTGGGAGGGAGAAGTGCAGTGAATAGCAAAGCCCAAAACTGGCATTTGGATGTGCCAGTGAGATATTCCATATCATATCACGTCATGTCAGTATATTAACTAGGGCTGACTGGAAATCCAAGTATTCTCTCAGAGATTACTTGGGCTCACACTTCTGGGGTTTCGGTTTCAGGACTGTCTCAGCTCCAGTATCGCTGGCTGGCACAGGCTGGGCATTGGTCAGTGGGTGGTGAGCAATCGCACTGTGTATCACTCATTTGTATAGTCTGTTATCACTGTTGTTAACATTATCATTTTATTTTAATTTGTAAATACCTTTTCTCTCAACCCGTGAGTCTCCTTGCCCTTTTCTTTCCAATTCTCTCCCCTACTCCCTAGAGGGGTAGTTGAGGGTGAGAGAGCAGGCTGTGTTTGTCTGCAAGGTGCAAGCCAAAAGGGTGAAGCCAATCCAACACTTTCTTGCATAATTTTGAAAGAATTCAGAAGTGAAAATAGCACCAAAGAGCTTTGTTTAGGAAATGATATAGAGGAAAGGCAAATCATTTTATGTAGACACCAATGGTCTAAATTGCTCATACTCAGTAGGGGTAAGGAGTCTGGAAAAGTGAAAACCCTGAAAAAAATCTGTAAGTACTGCTTGTCTGTAAAGTAGAACTCATTTGTAGAATAACAAGTTCAAGATGAAATCTGTTGTGACATCGGCTTGCAAAGGGATTCTGCGACATGGCAGGGAACATTAGTGCGTAATTTCACATTATTATGAATACAAGTATTACTATGCTAAGATCTTTTGCATGACAGTTCAATAAATACTTATAATTTTCTGTTATATATGGTACATTCCACACGGTGTTTTTCTTCGTCCATGATATGACATGCTGACTTTCAGCATATTGTTTATTCTTGAAATATTTGGTTTAGTATATTATAATTATGAAGTAAAAGCTTCTACTTATCAAAAATGTTGGTTAAAGCAAGTAAAAGCTTCTGCTTATCAGAAATACTGTTTTGGACAGAAGATGCATTTTATGTCTGTATTAAAATTAAATGATTTTCTGAGAAGTTCCTACTCATAACATTTTTCATTTTTTCCAGATTCTCGATATATTCTTCTTCCAGTAGTTTTACATCATCTCCACATGCATTTACAAGAGCAGAAGGACCTTATAATGTGTGCACGTATCCTTAGCAACATATTTTGCCTCATCAAGAAAAACAGCTCAGTAAGTAAACACCATGTTACGTCCACAAGGTGTTGAACTTCTTTATATGGCTCAATGACATTTAATGACACAAATTGGATCTTGACCAAGACCATTTTAAAGAGTCCTCTCTGTAATGATTCTGCATAAACATGTCATTTTGATTTCTCATGAGCCTTTTCTTCCCATGCAAGAATAGTTTAATTGTAGCACATAGTGTTCTGCCAAGCTTTGACTCCTTTTGAGTGTTATGTTGGGCAGAAAGCAATGTCCGCTTTCTTTTAAGAGCGTTTGCTATTGAGGGCTGTTTAGTCACAGGAGACACAGGGGTGATATAGGTAAATAGATTTATAATGAGTATTGCAAGAGTGGTTGAATTTGGTTATTAGTTGATAAGTTTTGTGGCCAATTTCTGCTGTTTGTGTTTGCAAATTCATCTGTGAAAGCTGCGGATGAGAGCTAGCTTAGATAGGTGTATAGAAAATATGAAGATGATGATAAGTTCTGACAGGCAAAGGGATATAAGACAACTAAAATGCCTGTAGTTAGTACAGTACATACCTATCAAGGCCACCATACATTACATTGTAATGGCTTAGTGAGAACGGTCTTACGTGTTTCTTCATTTCATCCACTGTCAGATTGAAGTTGCTCCATCATTGATTTGATATGGATGGAACTTGCAACTTTGGCACTGTAACAGCGTTTTTCATTTTAGCTGCTCCTGGATTAATATAATACCTCATCACAAGATAAAGTAAGAGATGATAAAGCATAGCTGTGGTTTTGGATTGTGAGAAAGTCTTACATGTCTCGTCTTAATTTCGGGAGCTCTTTCATTTTGGAGTCACCAAGCCAGAGATATACATAGTAACAAGTTAATGTCTCCATAAAGCTCTCTGTAATGTTCAGGATATGCATCTAGTATTTTTAGTAGTCTTTGAGTCAGTGAGAATATTAACAACTTGGTGACTTTGATATCATTTTTGTAGATCAGTTCAGGGCTTCATTCCTTCCATGATAATCAAGATTGAGGTTGAGGGAACAAAGTTTGCAGTCAGGCAGTTTTGAAAATTAAGGTTGGTGGGCATTGTAATAGTAGTTTGTACATGAGTCCTCACAGTTAATACAGTTCTTAAATACACTGTATAATGTCTGCCTTCATATGTAGCAAAGTTAACATTTGTTTAATACTAGATGAAGTAACAGAACACGGCTGTGACACTAGACTCATCTTGAGTCCAAACATCAATTCTGAGTTTTGTTACAAATCATATGCTTCGGGTGTGTAGGGAGGAAGCAAAATAAAATAAAATAAAATAAAAAAATCATTCCTGCACCTTGATGTCAACAAAGTTGAGTGATCTGTTTGTCAGCTGAGTTCTGATTATGAAGTGTTTCTTTCTGTGAAGAAGTGTCATCCTAATTGGTGGATAAATTGATCAGATTAAGATGGTGGTGCTTGCTGCAGTGGAGACAGAAAACATTATTGAAGAGGGGAAGACATATTTCCATCTGAATTAAAAGGGAAAAGTAACTACAACTTGACTTCTTCAAGTGTTTTCGTGCATGTAAATAAGGTATTCATGGTCGCTTTTAGTGGTGAACACTTTGGTTCCTTTGTATTGATGTTGCGTACAAGCAGTTGTAGGCTTACATAAATGACTAATTTGTTTGTGCTACTCATTTGATGGGAAGCAATGTTACTGGTCCTTACTTTTGAAGCAGGTCTTGAAGGTTGAGCACCATCTGCTTGTTTCTGGTGATAGTTTCAAAGTGTGAAAACTGAATGCTATGTTTTGGAATTTAAGCCTCTCTTGGAAATTTCCCCAGAAAATATACAGGGGTTACCTATAAAAATTTGCCCCAAAATTTATGAGATATTATTTACTGCTTTCTTCTAAACATTAGTTGAAAACAGAGCTATGCTAGTTTGATGAATGCTTACATATTCAAAGTCATCCTTGTAACTGTCCTCTATATTTCAGTACAATGTAATTAATTGAAAACTGTTAGGAAAAAATCAATAGAATTAAACAACATCTTAATTAGAGAATAGTCTTTGTTTCTCGAATGTAACATTCATAGTAAAACTATCATTTGTTTCTAAAATGACATCAAAGGAAATAGGCCTACGGTCATCTTTCTGTTTTAAAATCTTAAATGTTTTATTTATTATTTAAGGAAAAATCTGTCCTGGAAGAAATTGATGTGATTGTAAACAGCCTACTGGATATTCTGTTAAGGACCATACTGGAGATCACCAGCCGACCACAACCATCAGGCTCTGCTATGCGCCTCCAGTTTCAAGATGTGACTGTAAGTTTCGTGTAATGAAATAGCTCACAATTGTCACTGGTTGGACTACTAAATTTGTAACAATATTGTCTTTATATTGCAATTCACAGTGTTAAGGTTTTCCTTATAAAACAGAGAATGAGGAGAACAAAGAAAGGTTTTCTTGCATTTTATTAGTTTTCAGTGGAAATAGTTTTTTTTTTTCATTAACTTTGTTTATAAATTATGACTAAAAAAAAAAAACCAAACCCAAAAGATAAAATTTTTTTTGAAATTGTTTCAGGTCAATAATTATTTCATTATGTTTCTTTTGTTGACAAATATAATAGCTTTCTGAAACTCTCTTTAAGTTTGGATGCCTGAAAATGGAAGAGTATCAATCAATAGCATTCTACTTCCTCAGACACATACGTTTTTACATGATGAAACAGCTCTAAAAATGCCTCCAGAGTCTGCAATGCTAACTTGCACAAATCCAGATTTATTAATTGAAAGGCATTTTGTTGTTCTCTGGTCTGATCATTTGAGATTCATTTCTATCACATGAGTAGAGCAAAGAGGATGGATTTAGAAGATTAGCAACTGATACTTTGGTTAACCTGCTATAACAACTCATGCAAATTAGAAGGTTGGAATGAAGGCATTTACGGGAAAGCCTATGATGAGCTCTGACAAAACAAAATGAAGTTTTATTTTACTTTTTTTTCAGCAAGGTTCCCAGTTTTCTTTTGAAGGGCTAATCAGTTCTAATATAGCAAGGGCTATGACTCCAATGTGAGATAAGGGGCTAACATTTTGTGCAGAGAACATACTATGCTGTGTGATTTACCATCTTATTATACACTTAATTAGTTGCCCAATTTTTACACTGTAACGGTTTCTGTTAATGAATAGATGGTTGCTTTTCAGACCAGAATTTCCTCTGAGATCAAACATTTTAAAAAGCATTTAATAGCTGTGGAAGAAATGTGTTTCTAGGGTTTTGGTTTTTTTTTGTTTTACTTTATCCCACAGAGAACAAACATTATATGAAGTGTTTCATGGAGCTGACCAAGCTCTGTAATAAGATAACACCATGCTTTAATCACTGTTCAGATGGACTATATATCTGAGAGTTTGGAGGTTTTTTTTATTTAAATTACAAATGTACTCTCTAGTATATCAGGCCATCACAAGAAAATCTCAGCTGAAGTACAGATTGTACTATTAAACTGTTAGTGTAGCAAAGCTCTGAGCTTATTGGTTTCTTCTGAGATATCCACTTGCTTGCAGATTAAGTTTTTATAAAACACCATGACAGCCTAATTCTTTCACACCACCAAAAAATTAGACTCTGAAAGTGCTTTCAAGTTACAAAATTTTCTCTTTATGCATCCGAAAAGCCATGTCATTGTCACCACAGGCATCTCAAAGAATATTTGATGTGGAAGTGACTCACAGCACAGCATAAGGCAATTATATACATTTATGTAGAAACATCATGCAGTATGGGCTTATGGCAACACATGGAGCCAGATTCTTGGAACTATTTGTAGAGCAAGTATGATAAAGTACTTAATGTGAGTACAGCAGTAGAGTCTGCTCCAGTATGTTACCATTATTTCAAGCTGCATGTATCATAAAATATTCTTTGAGAGATGTATCGTGGCAGCACATTAGAAAAAAATCTGTCATACATTTGTATCAGATATAGTCTTAATTGTGGAAGTAGTCCCAAACTCACTTCAGTGTGATCTTCTAGGCTCACATGTCACTGTTTTTCTACACAAAGAAGCAGCATAAAATCAGGTAGCATCAGGCTGTGTGCTGCCATGATTGCACAGTTTCTTTAATCTCAAGTAGCTTTGGTACCTTGGTACTATTTCAGTTTGCAGTGAGGAATCTTGTTAGATGGTAACCTGCAAAATGGATGTGATACTTTGAACTGAGCACAAAGAAAATTGGATATACTGCTTGGCTTGACTTATAACACTAGAATTGGATCCTAAATGGATCAAGTTTGTTATTTGTGTTGAGTTTGCTTTTGTGCATGATTTGCACGTACCCTGACTAGCTAGCGTGTGGCAAACATTGGTAGAAGTCTTAAAACATACATTTTTGTGTTGAGTTCAACAAATAAAGATGAATGTTCATTGTTATTTTAAAAATCAGCTGCCTATATAGACACCTGCATTTGAATTAAAAGATCAAATTTCGAAGCCAGTTAACAATGCACTAAAGCTGGGACCCTTTTATAGCTAATCTGTCTGTCAACTATAATAGTATAGCTTTCTATAATAGGCAGTGATTTTGAATATGCTAGTATAAGACAAAGTAAATGTGGGAACATGGAACATGGCTAGAAAGAATTGCTTAAAATGCTTAAACAAGAAGGGAAGTATTCAAAAGGTTCATATTCAAATTTTGTCACTGAAGCTAGCAAGCAGGTGAGCTTACACCTTTATTTACTCTGCTTATCTTGACTAATTAGCCAAATCTGAATGGTCTCAGATTTTATAACTGGAATAGAAGTCTCCAAAAATTATAGGAGATTAACCTACATGGTACTAAATGGCACAATAAAATCATATTGAGGCTAGATATAATGAAATTGAAAATATTAAAAAATAATTATAAAAGAACAAAGTCTTTTTGTTTTCTGAAAAGAGCTTGATAGGATTGGAAATAAATTTTCACGTATCTCCAAGACAGCAGTTATAACTTTGATGGTTATGCCCAGAGCATGAAGATTAAGAGACCTTGTAGCCTTAGAATGTTATTTTGAGAATGCTATGCTCACTGTAAAAAACAATGGTTTACAGGGAGGTTGTTAATTTGGGATCATTACTTCAGAATGTTACTATGGGCAAGACAATTATTTTATCACCATATTGCCAGTGAAAGCCATCACCTTGCACATCACCAAGTACACAAGGTATAATCACAAGTGAATGAGGCCTTTCAATGTAAAATCCAGAACAGTAATTCCTGTGAAAACATGTCCCTTTTTTAATCTTATTGTCTGTTTTTAATGAATGGAAAATCTTCCCAAAATTTAACTTGACAAACTAATGAAAGACACCATTTTAAAGTACTGCTATCATACCTGTCTGTTCTCCCAGTCTCATTCCCCATTCCTGGTAGATACGGGCCAGAAGTGTGTTTCCCATTTTTTAACAAGCTTGTAAGGTTTCAGAATTGTTCTTTTTAAGCACTGGAGTACAATCCAGACCTTGCACTCTTTCTTGTCCTGATCCATTCTGCAGTTGGACCAGATTTATACCATTCAGTGTTTCTTCCCAGTTCAAAAGTGAACAAGCAGACAGGAAAGGGGGAGAGGGAGAACCTATTCCTTCCCATAATGTCTTGTTCCTTTGATGACTTGCTGGAGACAGTGATTTTCTCTGCTCTTTTGTTCCCAAATCCCTTGCTGTTGGAAGGACAGCCTGGTGAACGTGCATCAGTAGAGGCAGCGGGGAATCTGCGTAGCAGTCCGCTAAGACCCTCAGCTGCCCCCTGGAGCGTCCCTTTTCTGGGGTATGGGCCATGATGGAGCGTGAATCCAGGAGTTGACACTGTGGGAGACAGTGGTCTTGCCCTATTTCTGATCAAAACATTTTCAGTTTGTTCAGTCCTATAAAGGAGTTTTCTTTTTGACAAATACTGGTTTTGTGATTAAAAAATGTTTTGAAAAATTCCCAGCTAATTCCATTTCTTCCCTAAAGGAAAACAGTATTGTTCTTCCCAGAATTGTTGCAAAATATTTTTGTTTGTTTGTTTCAAAACTGAATTGACTTGAGAGGTGGTGAATTTAGCAATCTAAAAAAATCTCTTTAAAGCCAAATACAAGGGAAACAAATCACAAATCAAAATATTACTGGTTTAGCCCTCTGGAACTACTTGAAATAGATTTTGCTAGTAAACCACATTTGGGGGAAAAATAATTCTGTAAATGGAATAGTTCATAGCTAAATTAATGTATTTTCACAAAATATGGAGTCTAAGCCTAGTTGTAGATTAATTTCCCTTGCATTTGTTAATTATTTTTAAGTGCTTATAATATGATGGTTTAAGCTCAAGTACCAAAGACATTACAATATTTAATATTTCTGTTTTTTACTTATCTGAATAGGGAGAATTTGTCTCTTGTTTGTTGTCACTCTTGCGACAAATGACTGATAGACATTATCAACAGCTTCTTGATAGCTTCAACACAAAGGAAGACCTGAGGGTAAGTAACAGAATTGTCTTTCCACTTGTTCAGGTCTCTCTGATTTTCAGATTAGCTAACTTTTGCACAGGCTTTCACGTGTACTCAGGTGCACTCTTACAGTGGTGCTAGGATTCTGTTGTTCTATAATGACAGCAGATAGATTAGAGATGGAAGGGGACTATATAATTGCTTTAAAGCCATAAACTTACCCTCCAAGCCTGTTTTAAAGATAGTGTCAATCTAAGGTTATACAGTTCTGCTTGATTCTTTCTGTCAGGCAGTTGGTTTTGTGTTTGGTTTATCATATTTGTTTATTTATTCATTCATTAAATTGTATGGCAATGGAAAACATGGCTTGAGAAATGTATATTCAACTGACTTTCCATTTTTTTTTTAATCTGTGCAACATGTCCATTGGCATGTCAGACTTGTAGTGTCTGTCTGCCCAGTTTGATCATGGAAGAATGTGGCTGCAGAGCTCTTTCAGGACAGCTTCTACCAATTCCATTGATGGAGTTACTGGATTTGTGGAGATACACACTAAGAGATATACACTAAGACTTCCACTCTGCTAGACCCTGAAAAACTTGTACCAAATTTGATCCACACAAGAAATCTTGAGTAATCACTTATGCCCATTATTCAGTCAGTGATCCTAGATAGGAGAGTAATCATGTACTAATATGATAATATATTTTTAGATATTACTCATAAATTACCTTTTGATAAACTTAATTGCTGCCCTGAAAAGGGAAGTCTAGTCATGATGCAATTTCAGATTTCCTTAATTCCTGATATCGGTTCAGAGCTGTTCTGAAGAGAACAGACCATTCATGAGTGCCTTTTATTTGTAGCGAGATAGTCATATTGAGCTTGAAAGACAGAAAATGCTACTGAGAAGTTATATCTATCATGAATCAAAAGTATTACCTAGGAGTTATATAGAGAGGTCCAATTTTTATACCAGTATTACAACATCGGTTTTCACCTAGCATAGTTGCCGTCCTTAGGCAATTTTTAGTATATATTGTGGAACGTAGGCGTTTTTAACTAAAAATATTTTCCCTTTTGTTTGAGTTCTGAGCAGGTCTATATTCCTAGATTTATTAGAATTTTATATTTCCTAGAAGTTTTAAACTTTATTTCTGTTTGATGTATCTATGAAATAGTGTGCAGTTTATTCCAACTTTCTTGCTTCTAGAACATGAAAAATCTCTAGAATTAATACTTGAATGGCGTTTGATTTGACACATTTATATTCCCTGCACACACATACCCTACTATTATAGAGAGACATATGGAAAGCAGCTGTAGCCAGTGCCATCAGCTATCAAAATAGAGGTCTTAAGAACTCAAGTCCAGAGTTTATTTCCATTCAGATCTCATCAAATCAGCATCAGTTCCACCAGTGATTCAGTGGCAGTAGATTGATCATAATTAATGCAGCATTCCTTCTTTTCTGAATCTTAAATTATATAAGATCCTGTTTTTTTTCCTCTCACTTGAAAATATCAAATATCACTGAAGTGTGTACAACTGAGAGCAACAGAGGAAGCTGAGGGCTGACACTGCTGTTAATCATTATGTGATTGTGTATGACAGGCTATCTAAACCATCTTGCTACTTACCTCTGTTTTTCTGCTTTGTTTGTCAAGTGTGTAACTTCCTTGTTATTTTATACTGCTTTAAGATGTGCTTCTTAGGAAATGACATCAGTATGAGTAAATGAAGATTCAGAAGGTGTAAATATTTGTGATAAGATTTTTGTGTGTGTGACGTGTTTTGAGAGGTTGAACTAGTAGCCGTAGTTAATCTTGTGACTAGTACATAGTTTGGGATTCAAGCTTCAGTGGTAACTACCATCAACTTGCTGGTTTTTTAATCCTCTTTTTGGTGACGTGTTTTGAGAGGTTGAACTAGTAGCCATAGTTAATCTTGTGACTAGTACATAGTCTGGGATTCAAGCTTCAGTGGTAACTACCATCGACTTGCTGGTTTTTTAATCCTCTTTTTTCCCCCTGGTCAGTGATGTCAAAGTGGATTGGGTCTTCCTTAAGCCACATAACAAATTACAAATCTGATATGGGGTTTCCAAGGGACTTATCTGAGTGTAACCTTGGCCTTTGAATTGGTATCTGCGGTGCTTTTTTGCCTTGCCTACCTCTATTTCTAATTAGCTGTCTGTACTGAATGGTTAGACGTTGATATCACAAGGTATTTCTTCTTTTTTCCGGAGTAATTATCAAGGTAACTATGTCAAGTGCTTGCATGAATGCATGTTTGCACAGCATTTGTGATACCATTAAAAACATACCCCCAGCAAACCACTTCTCCAAACAAAAATTTGCTCATGCAAGTACTTGTAAAAACAGAGTAAATGTTGTCATTCATTCTATTGAAATATACTTACAGTTCTAATTTTTTTTATCATCTATACTAAAATTATTAAAGGCTATTTCCAGCTTGTTAATCACAGTATAGCAAAATGGAAACTTTTGTGACATGCATCTGAGTGATGCTTTAAACAAGTGATTATTTAGGGAAGTATTTCCTTTATTTTGTCAATATATTTTGTTTAAGTAATTGACATGGTGATTATTTTTATTTTAGTCAATTCTTTGAGAGTCAGGTTTTTTCCACGGAAATCAGAAGACAGAAGAAGCATTTTATATTTGAAAACATTTAGGCTCCTGCTCCAGCAGGGGGATTGGACTAGATGATCTTTTGAGGTCCCTTCCAATCCCTAACATTCTGTGATTCTGTGGAATGAAGTAAGAAAGAAATGATAGGGGATTCATAGCTGAGTGGTAGCACCAGAGACTATACTTCACTCACTTTTTGAAACACTGAATGTAATGAGGCAGCAATTTTAAATGCTTCCTTTTATCTTTTAATATTATTTTAAAGATAGGCTCCTTTTGCTTACCACAAAATACCATCATCTTCTAGTAAATCTATTTTATAGCAATTCATAGAACAGAGGCACCCTTGTAGGCCGATACTTGCTGCTGCAAAAAAGCTTAGATATAATTTATGACAAAAGGTAAAAGTGGAAGTTATAAATAGAAGTGGGAAAGTGAATGGGAAAAACAGTATATGATAGCACAATGCAGCTTTGACCACAGAAAAGTGGTTTTGGTTGATATGTGTGGGTTTTTTCATTAATAGATTAAAAGAAGACAAAACAAATAGATAAGCACCTGCCAGAAGGCCTAGTTTTTATCCATTGGCAGTGTATCTTACATAATGTGGTAGAATAGATATACAGGAGAGATCTGGTGGAAGAAAAGATAATATTTCATGAGGATGGCTGTAAACCTTACTCTGAT